TTGTTACTCTGCTGTAAAGGGATTTTTTTTTCAACAGAATCTAAATATTGGCCCCCCAAAATATTTAAGTGTATCTCTTTCCTTACAATCTGAGAAATGTTTCAAAACTTTACAGCCAATTTTGTACTCGCTGCTCAGTTGCAGAGATCTGGGATTGTTTGCTAAAGATGAGACTTCAGGAACCATTCTGTAAAGTAGAGATTTTACATCTCTTTTGCTCTATAATGTAATTGGGTGTTGAACACCTCTATGTTCAAAACAAATCCAGAAAAAGGCCATTCTTGGTAAGAAGCTAGACCCTCAAAAAACCACAGAAATCCATCAGTGTTTCTAAAAGACAATGCAGACTAACCATGATAGTCACAAAATGTTTCTAAAACTTTTAAAATGCTGAAGATTCCCCTGTATTTCTACCCTGGTAACTCTCTTTCAGGTCCGTGTCATCCTGCTGAACTGGTGTGCTTGGTTTCTACGAATGAAAAAACCTGGGGAAAATATAAAGCCCCTCTCTTGCAAATACAGCTATTCCAAGCACAACATGAGTGTGAACAGCATGGAGGTGAACGTCCTACCCGGGCACCAGTCCAGCAATGGCAACTCCATCTACAGCTACCACGCGATGGACAGCCCGTGCTGCCCCCAGAAGAACGACCTCGGCAGCAAGACCGGCAAGATCACTTGCCCCCTAGCAGAAGACATCGAGCTCATTCAAAAGAAAGCTCTAATGGATACTATCCCAGTGATCGTGAAGATCCTGGAGGAAGTTCAGTTCATAGCGACGCGATTCAGGAAACAGGACGAGGGTGAAGAGATCTGCAGTGAGTGGAAGTTTGCAGCTGCCGTGATAGACAGACTGTGCCTGGTTGCATTTACCCTTTTCGCCATCATTTGCACATTTACAATACTCATGTCTGCTCCAAATTTTATAGAAGCTGTTTCAAAGGATTTTGCATAAGGTTTTCAAAGATGAGCATGATTATTTGAAAGTGAATATTGCCAGTAACTTTGCTCGATAATTTAAATCAAATAGAGAAGTGTACTTATATGTGCTAAAATACACTGAAGGGGATGAAAATAATTTCAGGACATAATTATTCCTGATGTTAGTGATTGTAGTTACTGAATAGTAATCATATTGAACTCTGTTACTTATTTCATAGATTAGTGCCACATGTAATTATGTCATGATCTGTGACAAGTGGTAGACAAGAATTCAAATCTACAATATATTTGTTACAAGCTAACACTCGTATCAATGTGTTACTATGAATTTTTGAACTTTTAGATATTGTTAAATTGACTTAAATGTTCATTGATGACTACGAGTTTCACAGAATTTTGTTGTTTTCAGGATATTCGTGTTTTATCATTTTTGTTTGGTGTGGTTGTGACATGCACTTATCAGATTTGAAAGACCTATCTCCACAGTCTCATGATGCTGTATATTGTACCTGAAAATAAACCATCATCATATTAGCTCATCCTAACAGAGTGACTGGAATGTTTTCCTGGTAAAAATATTAGCAGAATATATCTTTCCCCAAAAAAATAACATTTTCTTTTTTTTTTTTTTAATTAGGGAATACTGATTGTGATGTTGGAAAGAAAATTTGTTCTCCATGCTGACAATAATTTATATCATTAACAGTGCCTTCTTAGCTGTCTCACTGCTGAATTGTTTCTGTCACCTTGAAACTCTACTTAATCTAAAATATCTCTGATCTCTTGGAAGACAGTTGGTAACCTAATATTGACTACCTATGTGCAATTAGGGCAAAATCTTGGGTCTGCACAATATGTAGGAAACTATCCACTGATTTAATTGGGGTCAAATTTCATATCAAGTCTACACTACCAAAGTAGTATTTTCTGAAAATTCTATTAGTACAGTATCTTTTCCAATTTGGTTGGTAGACTTTATTGAAAGGAGTGTATAAAAGACTGATTTTATTTTCCTAAACTTTAATGTATCAATTTTTATTATCTATTTGCTGTCCCTGGGTACTCTCTAATAATAATACATATATTAATAAAACATAATTGAATCATGCCACTTCCTGGAATATAAGGGGAAAAAAAAGCACTATTCTCAGCAGCAACTTCTTTCCACTCACTACTGTGGGTGGGAATGACACCTCTGTTGGTGTGATTTTATTTTTCCTACTGACCACAGCAGAGTTGCGAAAGTACATGATCTGATTCAGACACCTTTCCTCTTGGGGTAACGCAGCACTTCTCTGAATGTTCACTAGAAGAAAATAACAACCTATTATCTTCTCTGTCTGCCTTTCAACTTCCTATTCTCCCAGTGTTACAGTAAAGAACTAACTTTTCCCCTCGCTGCATGATGGGATCCTTCCCACCATCAGTGTCAGAGGGAAAGAAGATGATCATCGTGCTACTAGTCAGCAGAGAGTGCTTCCATCTAAAAGGTGATGGTGAAGCTGGTAGTTCTACAGATTGAAGCAATATGTTACTATTTCTTTAAGGATAATGTACCTGAACTTTTCCTCTGTGGCCTTCATCAGGTGGTGACAGCTCACTTGGAACAGAGATTTCACAGTAATGAATGTGACCTCTGTAACTGTAAGATTAGATCATCACACCAGTGGATTTGCTGCACTGCTTGGAGTTATGTTCAGCAAAGCACCTAAGGAGGCTGACCTGAGAAGGTCCTGACTACAGTGACCTGTTTTATATTTCACTTAACTTTTACGGTTCAATTTTAGGTGCAGGTCCAAGTGGTAAAAATGGCTTGTGGTAAAAATGGCTTATGCTAAAAGCCTCCACTGAAAATTCTGTCCAGGTTTCAGAGAGATCTTTTTCTTCACAGGGGCATCAGTGCTCTAAGTAGCTCTTTCCAAGCCTGCAGGAGAAAACTCCCATGATACATGATTGTTTCTCCTGCCTATTTTGTTGCTTCTGCTTACAACATTGTCCTTGCTGAGGTACCAAATGTAATTCAAGAGGGCTTTGCCTAATAGAAATATCTCAATGAACAGCAGAATTAGTCTGGGGGTTAGTTGTACCTGGCTTCTCTATTGGACAGCAGCTGAAATGCTCATTTAATTTATTCCTTTAGTTATGTGGACAACCAATCAATAAAAAGCCTAAATATCCAATTACTTCTGCAACTTGTGTTGCAGGGTGGTAAATGAACTTTAGAGCACTTGTTCAAGGATCACTAATATTTTTGCTTGAAAAGCATTTTTTAAAATAATCTCCAGTGACAGGATAAAAAGGTAAAAGCTAATGTTAAAGAACACAGTCACAATAACTTAGCCTCCTAATGCAAAGCATGCTTCCCTGCATGAAAAAAAGAAGTTATTGTATAAGAATATTTTTAACTGAATTCATACATCTTAGGATCAGATGGAGGATGGAAACTATTTGAAAATGACAGTGGAAAATCAATTGAAATCACTTTTTTAATTCATAAAAGCTGATGTAAATAAAACAAATTTCATGTATAGATTACTACCTCATAGTGTTAGATTGCCAAGGCTGGATTGCCTCTAGTAGAAATGTCCTAAAACTCAAATTGTATGAGTGGTATGCATTTTACAGCTCTTTACACTGGACTGAAACTGCTCCCTGATTACTTTTCCAGATCACATATAAGTCAGATACTTTTGATATCCACTTGTCACTTGGCCTTTTGAAAGATAATAAACCACAAAATTTGTAAAATGACCTAGTGTAAAATAGCATAGAAAAACAGTTACTGTACATAGAGAACATTGCAGAATAAAGTGTGAATGAATGTAATATTTTCCTGAGAGATGCAGTACACTTGGAAATATTGGTACATCCTGATTCACAGCTCTTCATGGCATCACCAGTTGGTGTCACAGTGTACTTAATTCCAAAAGAAGGAAAAACTCCCAAACTTATGAAAAAGATTAAATGGCAACAAGAAACTAATCCATCATATCCTTTACAAAATCCAAGATCTTATGGAAACATTACACGAGGAGTGTTGATCTTACTGTCCACCAGCAACAGAGGAACATGATAGTAAAGGTCCTTGTTCACTTTTTCTTGCTGAGGAGAGCCATTTTCCCAGAAGGCTTGGTAGACTTCTGCTATGAAGTTATTCAGCATAAGAAGATGAGAACCTACCCTTGTTTATTCATCAAACATAAAGAACTGTAGATATAATCAAACATAATCTTAACTTTTACTCATGAGTTACCTTAATTTTGGTAGCTGGATATTCCCAAGACAATGTGGATTCTTTGTTTTTGTTAGAACCTTTTTGTCTTGAACGTTTGCTGTTTTATCTGCCAACCTGAGAGATACAGCTGTATAACTTCTAACAGTAAATATAAAATATTGACATACTACAGTGAAGCTACATAGTTCTTTCATTCAATGTTAACTTTTCAGTATTGACTGTAACAAAGTAAAGGATCATGATATAAACCCATTATTCTAAATTACCATGTGCCTAGGAAAAGAGGGTGGTATAAATCAGAAGAATGTTAATGAAGAACAGGACTAATCTGGGATTTTAGACAATAAGAGTGTCAAATACTGTGAAATTCCCAAATACTGCGAAATGCCCACAGAAATAAATAGAGGCAAAATCAGCTGAAATCCCTTTCCTTTTGTGAGGCTCCTCTTGGCAGTATCTGGAAGAAAAATTTGAAACTCTGTAAAACTCTTGGTGAGGTTACCTCTGGGTTAAGGGATTGGGCTGAGCAATGATCATTCGGCTGAAAGACTTCCTCCTTCCTCTTCCCAGAATTATACATCCAGTTTGGAACTATATGGAAAACAATGGCTTCTTGGTTTTTTTTTTTTCCTTGATGACAATCAGACTAAGGGAGAAAGGACATGAAGCATAGGAAACTCCAAGTTTCGATGTAGTTTCTGAGCATGTGCTCAGAAAGCTGGATCCTTTTTCTTCCCTTTTGAATAAGCTAGAATATACTTAGGGCCTACTTATACAATCTGTACACAGGTGAGAGTAGAAATGCATCTTGGGGTTTTATTTGATACCACAGCTGTTAAAACTAGACCCTTCAACACAACTGTTCTCTGCCACCATTTCAGATGGTCTTCAGATCTCCAACTCCTTGTCAAGTCTGCTGGATCATGCAAATAATTCACATCATTTTTCTCCTGTCCCAGTACAGGAGCAAGAACAGTCAGTTGTGTCTCAAGTGTTTTCAGCAGGTGTTTAATCTTAACATCCAATAACAGAGAGAATTCAGCTTCCCTAGTATTGACATATTTATCACTGCTTGTTAATTTCTAGCACATAAATGAACCTAGTAGACTCAATCACTTACAAAAAACACCTTTTGAAGCAAAATGTCAGGATTGTTAGCTGATTCAGTATCACACAAAACCAAACCAAACCAAACCAACCAAACAACAACAACAAAAAACCAAACCAACAAACAAATATATAAAAACCAAAAAGCCAAAATACAAAATACAACAACCAAGAAGCCCCAAATCCACTCAGCATAAAATACTGAAGTTCATGAATGAAAAGATAAAGTCAAAGTCACAGGAGCTCTTAAAGATAGATTTACCAAAATTATTCTGAATTTCCTTTTAGTTAGAAACAATTCTGGTGAAAAACTGTCACTAATTTTTGTGAGATATTAAGAAGGCTTATGAACTGTAGTTAAGAATTCATTTTTAATTGAGTTCCACTGTCAATTTCATTGTATTAAGAAAAATTACTGCTTGATAACTCTGCTAACAAGTGCAAAAAGTACCTCCAAAACCTGCAGATGCCTATTTTTCCTGAGAAAAAGCTCCTCTAATTTCCATCCAAAAGCCAAGATTTTTCATTTTATAATCAATAGAAGAGTGGTGCATAAGAATCTTTGCATCTCTGGAGAGTCAGGCCATGAGGACTATCCAAAACTGCAGATGCTATCTCCTTTTTTTCCCTCTTATCTAGGGGCAATGAAAAGGAGACATCTTGACAGAAGAGCAACAATCATCCATGATTCAGAACTCTGTGGCAAAAAAATGTATTTCCACATAGAGCTTTGGTATTTTGTTTGTTGGTTGGTTTGGTTTGGTTTTGTTGTTGTTGGGGGTGAGTGGAGGTGTTTTTTGCTTATTTTTGTTTTGAGTTGTTGCTGTTGTCACGTTTTTTTACCTGTCAAAAATCCTCGTGGAAAACAAAACCCACAGAACAGGAAGATTTTGGAAAACATTTTTTTTGACCAGGCCAGTACAAACCCTGAGTTTAACACTGGATACTTAAATTGTACTTGCTAAACTTAGAACTCCATGGCTTTCAGCCCATCTGAAGCACATTTAAAATATCCACAGTGTGGTGATGACAGATCCTTCTATCCCAGTATCCAGCTTCTTAGAGGACCAACAATTTCTATGATCTGACTACACCTTCCTAGCTTGAAAGTTGTTTCTACAGCTTTGCAGCTAACAGCACTTAATAAATTAACAGGCCACATGGTATGTGTTGAGAAGAACTGAGAATATAAAACAT